ATAAATGTAAAGAAAAACACAGAAAAAAAAAACCTGCAATGAGATATCATCCTACACCTGTCAGAATGAATAGTATAAAAAAAAATACCCAAGTGTTGATGAAGTGGAGAAAAAGGGACCCTCTCGCACTGTTGATGGAAATGTAAATTGGTGCAGGCACTGTGGAAAACAGTATGGAGGTTCCTCAAAAAAATAAATAAATAAATAAAAATAGGGAGAGCAGGGGCACCTGGGTGGCTCAGTTGGTTAAGAGACCTACTCTTGGTCGCTGCTCAGGTCATGATTTCATGATTCGTGGGTTCGAGTCCTGCATCAGTCTCTGCACTGAGTGGCTACTTAAAACATCTTTTTTTTTTTTTTAATGTTTATTTATTTTTGAGACAGAGAGAGATAGCTCATGAGCCGGGGAGGGGCAGAGAGAGACGAAGACACAGAATCCGAAGCAGCCTCCAAGCTTCCACCTGTCAGCGCAGAGCCAGATGCGGGGCTCTAACTCACCAACAATGAGATCATGACCTGAGCCAAAGTCAGACACCCAACCGACTGAGCCACCCAGGCGCCCCTATCTTTTTTGGTTTTAAACCAGTAGACACTATCTCAAAATGTTAACACTCCCAATTGATTTTCCTTGTTCTATTTTTCAAATTTCAACAACGAATGTGGGCTTTTTTGTTGTTGTTGTTGTTGTTGTTGTTAGTTAGAAACAACCACAGGTCAGGGAGCTAGGTGTCAGCCCCAGCACTGAGCCCCAGCCCTGGCAGCAGCTCACAGCGGAGGAGCGCCCCTGAGTGTAACCCCCCCCCCCCGCCCCGCCACCCCTGGCTTAGGCTCCTGTCTCTCCATTCTCCCAAGGGCCTAATTATCAGTTCTTTCCATCCAGGAGAGTCTCCTCCAGGGCCCTGATGCAACTGCCATAGCCCTGCCCTGGGGAGAAGGAATCTGTTCTCCCCAGTGGGCCTGGATTTTCCTTTCAAGTTATGGGTGGAGCCAGAAGAGAAAATTCTCCTAGGCCTTATCAAGGCTTGACTCCTCTTAGACCCTTTGGCCTGGACCTCACTGGCCCTGCCCCTGGGAGGTTGGAGGGCCTCTGGCCTCACTGAGCGTATTGATTCTGCAGCTGCCTAAACGAGTGGTTCTCGAAGTGTGGTCCCCACGCCAACAGCGTCAACACCACCACGGAACTTGGTAGAGACGCAAATCTTGGACCCCACCCTGGACATAGGGAATCAGAAATTCTCGGGATGCGGCTCAGCAACCTGTGTTTTAACAAGTTCTGCGGGTGACTCAGGTTTACTTTAAAGTTTGAGAACCACTTTTCAGACCATCAAGCTTGGAGGGCAAATCTAGTCATGCCTCTTCATTTTACAGAGGAGGAAACTGAAGGCTTTTAAAGTGAGGAGAGGGACCTGGCTCAAGTGGCAAAGGTGAAACTGGAAGTTAGATGATCTGTTTCCAGAGACACCCCCCCTCCCCCGCTCTGACTCTCTTCTGACCCAGGCAGACCTCCTAAGCCCATCCCGCCTGGACGGTTACCGTGAAGCCAGCAACCATCAGCGCACCATTCCCTCTGTGCCAGGGAGGGAGGGCCCTCACCTGCGTGAGCTAATCAAGCCTCACGACATCCGGTGAGCTCGACACCAGTGTTCACCCCATTTTACAGAGCTGAAAACTGAGGCCAGAGAAAGCTCATTACATTTGTCCAAAGTCATAGGGCTAGAAAGGGCAGGCATAACTCAACCCAATTTTCTAGCCACCCCACCCCACCCCCACCCCCCACCGCAGGGGCCCATGCCATGGCCAGCGGGAGCACACTGAGGTTTGCAGAGACTGCCACCATCAGGGAGGGCTCTTCCCCAACACCTACAATTCAGCTGAGAAACCAGAAAGGAGAGATTAATCTTGAACAGGCAAAACAGTTGGCAAACAGCCAATGCTCCAAGGCTAACTGCCATTTACTCACAGGAAAGCCTCTTGTCTCTTGGTTTGCAAACAATTGTACCAACCTTGGGGGGTGGGGCAGAGCAGTTTAGAAGCAGTCCACCAGGAGGGAGCAGAACCGGTTCCTGCCCCCTGGCCCTCATTCCTGCTTTCTCCCTCTCTCCTGCCTCCTCCAAGCAGCAGGTATGCCTCAGGGCAAAACTTCCCAACATTTCACAGTGGGGCGCACAGAGAAAACCAAAATATTCATACAGCATCTGAGTAATGCAAAGGGTATTGGGAGGTATTTGGAAGCCTTGATGAGAATTTCATAACACATGCTTCATAATATGTTGGAATTAGGAACCATTATGTAGGAGCCCCTGGGTGGCTCAGCCGGTTAAGCGTCTGACTTCCACTCAGGTCATGGTCTCTTGGTTCGTGGGTTCAAGCCCCAAGTTGGGCTCTGCGCTGACAGTGAGGAGCCTGCTTTGGATCCTCTGCTCGCTCCTGGCTCCTGCCCAGCTTGCACCCTCTCTCTCAAAAATAAATAGACGTTGGAAGAAAGAAAGAAAGAAAGAAAGAAAGAAAGAAAGAAAGAAAGAAAGAAAGACCATAATGTAACTTATTAGCGAAGGCATTAAAGCTCAGTTTCATATGAAACTTCCAAATAAAATGTTTATACTGGTTAAAAGCAGACACACGAGGCCGCATAATGTATGATTCCACCCAAACGATGAAAAGGCACAAACATAGAGATAGGAATCAAACCCGTGGTTTCCAGGGGCTGGAGTAGGGAGGAGGGTACTGACCAGACGGGGGAATTAGTGGGGAGATGTATATATTCCACATCTCCATTGTCATGGTGGTGACAGGACTGCTTACATTTGTAAAAGATCAAAGTCAACTTTTTTAAAGTTTATTTATTAAAAAATGTTTTTTAGGGGCGCCTGGGTGGCTTAGTCGGTTAAGCGTCCGACTTTCGCTTAGGTCATGATCTCACGGTTCGTGGGTTCGAGCCCCGCGTCGGGCTCTGTGCTGACTGCCAGCTCAGAGCCTGGAGCCTGTTTCAGTCTGTGACTCCCTCTCTCTCTGACCCTCCCCTGCTCACGCTGTCTCTCTCTATCTCCTAGAAATAAATTAAAAAAAAAAAATTTAAAAAATGTTTTTTAACATTCATTCATTTTTGAGAGACAGAGACAGAGTATGAGTGGGGGAGGGGCAGAGAGAGAGGGAGACACAGAATCTGAAGCAGGCACCAGGCTCTGAGCTGGCTGTCAGCACAGAGCCCGACGCGGGGCTCGAACCCACGAACCATGAGATCATGACCTGAGCCAAAGTTGGACACTTAACCAACTGAGCCACCCAGGTGCCCCTATTTATTTATTTTTGAGAGAGGGGACAGGAGGGGGAGAGAGACGGAGAAAATCCCAAGAAGGCTAAGCGCTGCCAGTGGGGAGTCCAACGCAGGGCTTAAGCCCACAAGCCCTTGAGATCATGACCGGAGCTGAAGTCAGACGCTTAACCGACTGAATCACGCAGGCGCCCCTCATCAGCATCAATTTTACTGTGTGTCAATTTAGCGGGAGTTCCCAGAGCTGTCAGCTGCTCAGAATCACCTGGGATGGTTTTGTTCAGAAAGTCAAGCCTCACCCACAGCCAACAGAATCAGACGGAACCGGTGGGGGAAACAGGGAGGGGGAGAAGTCAGTAATCTGCATCTTAACAAGCTTCCCAGGTAACCAGCGAGGGAGGGGCAAGGGGTGTGTGTGTGTGTGTGTGTGTGTGTGTGTGTGTGTGTGTGTGTGTGTGTTCTCAGACCATACTTGATGTCTCCTTTCTCGTTTTGCTCTATAGCACCTGCCACTCTCTAATATTTACTCGTTTAGTTTTGTCTACCTCCCTCCTAGAATGTCAGCTGCACCAGGTCCGAGATTTTTTGGTTACTTTTATTCACTGATGTATCCCTAATGCCTAAACCTGGCCCATAAGAGGGGCTCTACAAATAATTGTTTTAATGAGCGAAGGGGACACCTGAAGCCTGGAGGGGAAAAGTGACTTGCTCAAGGTCATAGCCATCTGAAATCAATGCCTTTCACTCTTGGAACAAACAAAGCACCAATCCTATAGCTTTAATCCAAAGTCCTTCTCACAGACATGCCAGGTCCTGGGACCAGAGCCAGGCCAGCTGGACCTCATCCCCAGGGGAGGACCAAGGAATAGCCTGGGCTCAGGGGGTGCCTGTCCGACTCTGCCAGGACGCTGGTGCTTCCACAACCAAGTCAAGGAGCTGCCAGGGGAGAGAGGCTCCCCTGAAGAAGGAGGCCTAGGCATGCCAGTGCCACAGTCTTGTACTGGTGGAGGCCAAGGCAGCCATGGCCAAGGCAAGGAGCCACTGCTCGACCCCCTCCAGCTGGGGACAGTTGCTGGGGACAGTTGCTGGGTCCAGAAGGCTGACCCTATGGAGGGCGGGTGGAGAGGGAGGAAGGCCAGCGGTCCCCAAGCAGAAGGGCAGAAGAGGCGGAGCTGCTGTGGGCAGCCCAGCAGCACAAGGGGGTGATTCCAAGTGCCCCAGGCTCCTTTCCCCATTGCTGGCCCCGCACCAGCAGAGGGCGACCCTGGCCCACAGGGTCCATGTTCTTGCTTACTTTCGCCCTCTGGCGGCCACACTGGTTAGGGCCAGAGGGGAGTCCCGGATCTCCACCTGTAGGTGGGCCGGTCGGGGTTGCACAAGTGAAGATTCAAGGGGACCAGGTCTGGGTGCCCCCTGACCATCAGGGTGAGGCTAGTGATGCACATGATGGTCCCAGTGGGTGAGCATTCACTGTGGGCCAGACCAGGCCATTCTGTACCCACCCAGCCATGACCCTTCTCTTCCATGTCCATTTCACCACCAGGCGACTGAGACCCAGAGAGGGATGGTATCCACGCAAGATCACCTAGCAAGGAGATGGCCGTGCCCGGTCAGCCTGACGCCTCCTCCAGGCTGCCATCCCCTCTCTGTTTCTCCAACTGCTTATCCACAAACTGGGAACCCTTCCCTCCCAGACCTCTGTGACACACAAAGAGGCTCATCCAGGAGATAAATATATAAAGTGCAAATATCAGCTGGCTTTTATTGAGGGCCTACTATGTGCTGAGGGAAGCTACTATGTACTTCCCACTGGCTAGGGGAGAGGGCGGGCCCAGGCAGGTGAGACCCAGGTGTCGAGAGCGGGAAAGGGGCTGAGGTGGAGGTAGAAGATGGCAGAGGGGCCCCAGCAGCGGGTCTGCAGGGAGGGCAGGGCTCCTGGTGTCTGCCCAGCTTGGAACTGAAGGCTGGTGAGCCCCCCTTCTTCCCTCCCCCCAGGGCCCTGAGTCAGGAGGGTGACAGGGCCTGGGAGCCCTGCCCTTTGGCCATGTGACCTTCAGGGAAGGGGGTCCCATCTGAGTGGTTTCTCCCCATGTAAGGTGGGGCCAGAGGGCAGAGCGGCCACGCCTCAGGTGACAGTCGGGTCTCTGTGGGGTCTGTGGGTCCTGGTGGCGGCCCCTGCCAGCGATCTCCAGGTCGGCCTCCTCCTGAGCTCCTCCGGAGTCATGGCCTGGACCTGGTGGGACAGAAGAGGCGAGGAGAGAGAAAGAGAGGGAACTGGAGTGGCATATCCAGAGGCAGAGGCAGGAAAAGACACAGAGGAGGTCTGAGAGACAGATAGGCCGAGAGAGAAAGCTGGAGGTGGACAGAGAAAAGCAGGGAGCCACAGACACACAGAGGCGGGGGCAGAGCCCTTGTGAGGGAGGGGGGAGGCAGGCTGAGAAGGGGAAACAGAGACCCAGACACACTCAGCCCAGGAGGGGAGAGAACTCGGAGGCGCGCGCCCCGCCCCCGCCGCCGCCCGCAGGAGGCGCTTCCCAGCCCCGCCCTCACCTAGAGCTCATCCCGGGGGCGGGGGTGGAGGCTGTGCCCGCTGCTGCCGGCCAGGTCCACGCGGGGGCCACGCAGGGTCTTGTGAGAGCCACTCCAGCTGACGATGCGGCCGCTGTCGTCGTCCCAGGGCGAGGATGTCTCCGTGTCGCTGAGCCACTCCGCGTCCCCTGCGTAGTGGGTGGGGGCAGCGAGCAGGGGCCGCGCAGAGAAGGCGCGCAGGTCCCGCGGCCAGAAGTGCGCCTTGTACTGCTCACTGTGGGGCGGGGGGAAGGCTCAGGAGGCCTGGCGCCGGGCACCTCACCTGCCCGAAGCACCTCACTGCCCTCCCCCCTCAAGACCTCACGACCAACTCAGAGAAGCAGGGTTTCTATCATCTCCATTTCCCAGACGGGGGAAACCGAGGCTCGGCGCAGGGAAGTGGCTTGACTATAAACCACATGGGCAGCACAGAGTTTACACCTAGGTTGGTCTGACTCCAGAGCGAGGCTGGGCTACTCCATGGTGGCCTCGAAGAAGTGACTCAGCCTCACCAGCCCCCGTCTCCCCAGCTGCCCAGCAGGGGGACTTAAGACTTGCAGACGGGGGCTCCCGGGAGGAGAGGACCCTGCCCTGCCTGCCCCCCCCCCCCGACTCACTTGGGGTGCTGGTCAAACATGATGGGTAGGAACTCGTCCACGGGCAGCATTCGGCGCAGGGGCTGGGAGGCCAGCAGCTTGCGAGCACCCGCCAGGCTCAAGACATACGCCAGCGTCCAGTAGGAGTAGCCGGCCACCACCAGGTGCGGCACCCCCTCCACGGCTGCCTCTTCCTCCGGGTTCACCTGCTTCCGGCCCAGGTAGCTATGGGTGACATCGAGGGTCCCGGGAGTCACTGTGGGTCCTAGGGTGTCAGAGGACCCCTTCCCCAATCGCACCCCACAGGCCAGGCTCTCGCAGAGCCCCCGAGGCCGCCCCTCTTCCCGGCCCCTGGAGGCGCAGGCTGCCTACATCAGGTCCCACGGCAGTTCCTCTGCCTCCACCTCCTCCATCAGCCGCTCCAGTCGCCCCCTGAAGTTGCTCTCAAAGCGCACATCGTCCTCAAACACTAGGACCTGGGCCAGGCCCCTGGCAACCACCTGTGGTGCGGGGGAAGGGGACACAACACAGGGGATGGCTCTTTAGATTCAGGCTGTCCCCTTCCCTGCCTGTGACAGACTCTTTCTGGCCTCGGTTATATGCCAAAGGCTCAGCCCTGGCCAGGTCACTCAGCTGCTCCAAAGCCCGCTGGGGCTCCCACCGCCTGGGGACTGAAATCCCAACATCTGGCTCTGGCATTCAAGGCCCTCCAGGCCCCCTCCCCCCCAGGTCTAGCTCGCCAAGTAGAATCGTGATGGCCATGGTAACCTCTGCTGTATTCACAGAGCGCTGCCATAGCCCGGGGGCCACGAACTACTGCTCATCCGGGGACCCTCAAGAGGCAGGACGCACGATGTCCCTGTACTGTAATAAGGAGACGGAGACACGGGAAGGTATGAGCACTTGTCCAAGCACACAGCCTACAGCAGAACCGGGACCTGAACCTGCATCTATTGGACTCCAGGCTCAGCTCCTCACTGGGCCTTCTGAACTTCCCCAAAGGAAGACCCTAGACCCCACGATCCCTAAGAAAAAGTACTTTTTCTTTCTGGAAACATGAAAAAAAAATGAAATCGGCACAGTAAACGGTGAAATGGAATTCATCCTTCAGTCTGTTCAGAGACAGTAGGAAACAAAGAGAACTATGAGCTCACATGCATATATTTTGGCTGCGGTAGAAAATAAAAACAAGAAGCCGGCCTGGGTGGTGCCTGGAGGGCGCGCCTGCCCCTTGCAGGGCCAGGCCCCTCGTCCCTCCTCAGGGACCAGGCAGCAACCTCTCACCCGCACCCATACCCGCAGCCCTAAGCCGAGGCCTCCTGGCCAAGTCCCAGGCCTTTCTTCTTCCCACTTCTGAACATACAGTTCTTCCTGCCTCAGGGCCTTTGCTCTACTGTTTACTTCTGCCCAGAACGCTCTTCTCACTGCCCTTCAATGCCACTTGACCCACCAGGCCAGGAATCCAGGCCAGTCCACACTCTAGGACAAGCCTGTACATCTACCCTCCATGGCAAGCTTGGTTTCTGTGCCCTCCTCTGGTCCCGGAGCCCCGAGAGAACCAGAAGGGCCTTTTATTGGTTTGTCTCTATATTCTCAGAGCAGAAGATCTCCTAGCACAGAGTACGTGCTCAACAGAGGCTACAGAATGAATAAGGCACAGGGATGAACACAGTTTAAAGCTACAGGCCAGGTCTTGGGGTGCCTGGGTGGCTCTGTCAGTTAAGCGTCTGACTTCGGCTCAGGTCATGATCTCACAGTTCATGGGTTCGAGCCCCACGTCAGGCTCTGTGCTGACAGCTCAGAGCCTGGAGCCTGTTTCAGAGTCTGTGTCTCCCTCTCTCTCTGACCCTCCCCCACTCACACTGTCTCTCTCTCTCTCTCAGAAATAAATAAAAAACACTAAAAAATTAAAAATAAATTAATTAAAAAAATATATATATAAAAACAAAAAAGCTGCTGGCCAGGTCTTTTTTAATATATTCATTCACCCATAGGTCCCTTGAAGGCTGAGCACAGAGCAGTGAATAGGGTGGCCCCGCTCTGCCTGTGGGGGTGTGGGCCAAAGGGGGTTCCTCACCTCCTCCCAGATGGAGTAGTGGCTGAGGAAGCAGCCCACCTCGCCCTTGGTCAGCGTGCGACCCGAGTAGGGGTCCTGGTAGCTGGGGAGCAGGTCCACGCCGAGGCTCCTCATGATACTGCCGTTGAGTGTCCTGAGGGAAATGAGGGTCATGGGGTGAGGGGTGCCTGCCAGGGACCCATCCAGGGGCGCTGGCCTGTGCCTGTGGGGGGCAGTCACACTGGAGTTTAGTTTGAAGGAGGTGTCAGCCTTGTGACCGCTTCATGGGGCCTGAAGCTATCAGCGGATGTTCCCCAGAATCAATGGGGGGAACACAGTATCGGCCTCTTGGGCAGAAGCCCAGGGAAAAGATGGGACATCCCAGCGTCTGAAGGGCGGGGGGCATGAGTGGCAAACAGCAGTGGGCGAGTGCAGCCACGTGACCTCTGGTTTCCCAGGGCAACATGACAGGCCCGCTCCCACCCCCACCCATCATGGACCCTTGGAAAAAAATAAGCCTGATGATAATATCTGGAGTACTTACTATGTGTCAGGCCCTGCGCTAAATCCTCGCTGAGCCCTTGTAAATCCTAAGAGGGAGACACAATTGTCTGCCATTCACACGGCAGGGCTGAGGGGTGGCGGTCATGAGCCAGAGATCGCCCAGCTGGCACGCGGCAGAGCTGGAGCGCAAGCCCGGGGGCTCCAGATTCTGGGCCTTAACCACTCACTCTCCTGCCTCCGTAGGCTGAAGGAAGTCATCCTGTCCTATTTGGATTCTCCAAGACGCAATTACTCAGGCCCTGTTTGAGTACCTCCTGGAACAGCAAACTCCCTCCATCCATTTGTCTGCTCTTGCCATTCCTAGGGAGCTCCGAAGGACCACCCCCGCCCTCCGCCGCCCAGGGCCCCACCCCAGGGAGCCTCACCGGCCGTCCACAGCATCCACCACCCGCCCAGATATTTCCATCTCCCAGAGCGAGCTGAGCATGCGTTCACGGCGGTCGGGCCGGCGGGCCAGGCTGATGACAAACACCTGGAGGAGGCAGGGAAGGTGGGTGCAGGGTCGGGCGTGGGTGCAGAGGGAGGGGCGGGCCCACCCGCCTCCTCACCCCCATCCTGTGGGCTGAGGGAACCTACCTCACCAAACCCCATCTTGCTGGGTCTCTTTGGTGGCCGGGACACGTGAGCGGAGGCCCACATAGGGGGCCCGTCCACTGCAGAGGAAAGCACCCCCAGTCGTGAAGAGCCAGCAGGGACCCTGGAGTCTCAGCCCCGCCCCCACCTCATTTTTGCCCCCTCGGCAGAACACCCAGCAAAAAGAGCCCTGGGGGATCACATTGTAGAGATGGGGACGCTGAGGCCCAGCGGGGGAAAGGACTTGCCCAGAGACAAGGAATGAGTTAGAGGTAAGGCTGCGACCCCGAGCCCACTGCCCGGCCAGGCTCAGGGCCTGGGAGAAGGGGCGCAGGGGGCAGCGGGGAGCAGCGGCAGCAGGCTAGGGCCCCGCCTCCCGGCCCTCACCTAGCGCCTCCGAGATCAGGTGGATGAAGTTGACTCTCTCGTCCTCTAGCCCCTGGTGGGATTTCACGGGCACGTTCATGTACCCGTAACGGTGCTCGTTGCACACATGGACCGCGACTCCTGTGGAGAGAGGCCGAGTGGGTGCTGGAGTGGGGGGGGCAGGGCCCTCAGACCCCAAAGCACGTGTCCCCTCGGGGACTCAGTGTCCCAACCATGGGGCTGGAGGGAGAAAGGGCTTTACTCAAACAGTATCTAAGGGGCCTTTCTGCTGAGATGGTTTGTTCATTCCACAGATGTGTCTAGGGCACCGGCCGGGTGCTGGGCGTTGGTGGTGAGCATCACGGGGAGGGAGAAGCAATCCCATGCCCAGCAGGGAGCACAGAGCCTGGTCCAGAGCAGGGACTCAGTAGCTGGGTGCCTGGATGATACCGACGAAACCCGATTCACAAAATTCTTTCAAGCGGTTGTCCCTCGAAGCAGTGGTGGCCTTGAAAACTGAACACTTCGGCTTCTTCCCATCGATTCTCCATGGCTCTGTTTTTCTTTCGCTCACCTTTTGCACTTGGTAAGATCTCTTGGCTGGCCTGTCTGCAGCAGACTCCGCCAACACCTCTTGCACGAAAAAGCCAGCTACCACACTTTCCCCTCTGGAAACTCTTTGCACACCCCTTGCTCACACGCGGCATTTCTGGATTAGATGGCCACTTCTCATTCTCCCTGAATTAGTCTCTTCTCAAGATTCTCTTTCCAACGCTGGTGTCTCTGTCTCACCCTCCTTTCTGACTCTTCCTCAGGACTGGATTTAGCCCAGCTCCGCCCAAACACTCTCCAGTAATTTCCAACTTAAAAATAACGCCAACACCAGAGTGTTCTTTTCAGTGTGTGAAATCAATCACTTGATCCTCTGATGGCTGCCCAGTGTTTTCAGGTTAAAGACCAGAGGCTTGCAGGTCAGGTCCATATAGGCTGGCCCCTGCCTACCTTTAGTGCCTCCACCCGTACTGTGTCTCCCTCACTTATTCGGCTCCTGTCACCTGCCTTCTTACGTTCCCTGCTACCACAGGGCCTTTGCACTTGCTGGTCCCATTGCCTGAAATGCTCTTTCTTGCTCTTGTTGATGCTTTCCCATACCTTAGATCTCAGCCTCAAAGTTCATACTTTCCAGGAAGCCTTCCCTGACCAGATCTATTCTGGTCTAAGCTTCCTGAGCACCTAGAATCAGGACACATTCCTTCTGTCATGGCTGTGATTGAACATTAGTCTGTGAGATCCTTGGGCCGACTGGACCGGAGGTTCCAAGAGGGCAGAGACTGCCTGAGTTTACTCACCACTGTCTCCCCAGTGCCTGGCACATGGTGGGTGCTCCACAAACATCTGCCTAATGAAAGAATACGTGAAAGTGGCACGTTGGGAAGCCAGAAGAAGGACATCTAGCCTACTGGGACAACAGGCTCAAGAAAGGCTACGACCTGGACAAACAAGAGTTTAACAGGACGAACTGGAGACTGGAGGAGGGTGTGCAAAGCAGAGGGAACAGCGTGTGCAAAGGCCTAGAGGCTTCCAGGAATGCTCACGGAGAACGGGTCCTCACCAGCTTCCTGGCAGGCATGGGCGAAGACGATGATATCGTCGAAGGGCCAGGTATAGTTGGGGTGAGGGGGGTAGAAGGCGAGTTGGGCCGCCCCCTCGGCCTGCAAGGACACCAGGAAGGTGGAATGGACCATGGGGACACGGAAGCAGCCCCGGCGCTGGCGGTTCTTGGTGGGGAAGTAGTCGGCTGTTCGGCGGTAGTAGCCCTGGGGAAAGGGGTTGCTCTGAGCTGTGATGGAGCCCCGCTGTGGCCCACAGACCCCAAGGCCTTCATCCCCAGCCTTACCTGGGGGGTGATCCCACACCAGAAATTGGAGTAGTAGGTCTGCGAGTCCAGCATTGGGGCCACCACGGGCAGCCCCTGCTCTATCAGAAGTCTCAGCGTCTGGTTGTTGGTCAGAATGTTGTCTGTATCTGCGAACTTTGGGGAGGCGGCCGTCTCAGGTCCCAGCCTTATCTAGGCTGTACCCCCAGGGATTCACTGAGAGGGGCAGTCTCTAGATTGCCAACGACCCCGCGTGTCTCCTGGGGTCCAGTGGGTTCCGTTAGAAAGTTCTAACCTATAAACCAGTAGGTCTGTGTCTGGACCAAGGATCTAGTCTGGAGCACTGGCTCATGGATTGGGCCCAGAGATTAAACCTGAGTTGCTGATCTAAGAACCTTATTTTAACATTTTTAATGTTTATTTATATTTTTGAGAGAGATGGGGGCTCCCGGGTGGCCCAGTCGGTTACGCATCGGACTCTTTGTTTTGGCTCAGGTCACGATCTCACGGTTTTATGGGTTCAAGCCTCACATCAGGCTCTGTGCTGGCGGCATGGAGCCTGCTTGGGATTCTTGCTCTCCCTCTCTATCTGCCCCTCACCCACTCACACTATCTCTCTCTCCAAAATAAATCAATACATTTTTAATTTTTAATTTTTTTTTTTCTGAGAGAGAGAGAGTGTGTGAGCAGGGGAGGGTCAGAGAGAGAGGGAGACACAGAATCCGAAGCAGGCTCCAGGCTCCTAGCTAGCTGTCAGCACAGAGCCCAACGTGGGGCTCGAACCCACGAACCATGAGATCATGACCTGAGCTGAAGTCGGACGCTCAACTGACTGAGCCACCCAGGTGCCCCTAATAAATTTTTAAAATTATATTTTTGAGTGAGAAAGAGCACGAGTGGGGGTGGGGGGACAGAGAGAGAGGGAAACATAGAATCTGAAGCAGGCTCCAGGCTCTGAGCTGTCAGCACAGAACCTGATGTGGGGCTAGAACACATGAGCAGTGAGATCATGACCTGAGCCGAAGATGGAAGCTTAACCGACTGAGCTCCCCACACCCCCAATGAGAACTTTATTTTAGGTCTGACTTAGGGAATAGAACCAAAGACCTACTCTGAGTTCTAGTCCAGGGAACCAGGCTCAGTTTATACTCTGGGCTCTGGCCTAGGGATCTAGGCTCAGTATATACCCTGCAATCTGTCTCAGGGATCCAGACTTAGTAGCTAGTGTGAACTCAAACACGGGGATCCAAGCTCAATATCTGGTCTGGGTTCTGAGCCAGGTTGCTAGCTAAAGGATCTGGCCTACATGCTGTCATGTCACAGCAAGATTTCTATCAGGGGCAGATACCACCGCCTGCGGGAAACTCCATCCTGGCCAGGCTTTCTTACCAGGATGTAGTCAGCCCCCCAGTCCCTGGCAAAGGTCAGGGCTTCCTGTTTCAACTCCATCAGAAACTGGTGCCTTTCTTTGGTCCAGTGCTTGGGACCCTCTTCATCTGGGTAGGACCTGAGAGGGTAAAGAGATGAGATGGTCCCATGGGGCAGGTGCGTGTGGCCCTCCTCTCTGCAGAGCAGTGGACAGAGCCCTGGCCTGGAGGCTGTCCTTGGGGCCGTCCCTTTTCCTCTCTAGGTTACAGCCATTGCCCATCTTCCCAAGCACCTTTCCCCCCAGATCACCACCTGGGCTCCCCCTCAGGCCTCCAGACCACGGCCGCATAGTCGTCACCCACGGCGGCCAGCCACTCCTGCAGCATCCCTGTGGTGTTGTCCGTGTTGTGGTCTGTGGCACACCTGGGGACACAGAAGCAGGGTGAGGGGGCACAGCCACAGAAGAGCCAAACCCCAAGGCAACCTTGACCCCTGGAGCACCGACATCTGTGAGGCTAGACTCTTGGGTGCTACGGGGGAAGGAGGTGTGCTACAGAGCAAGGCAAGGGGCGCCTGGGTGGCTCAGTCGGATAAGCCTCTGACTTCAGCTCAGGTCACGATCTCACGGTTCATGGGTTCGAGCCCAGCGTCGGGCTCTGTGCTGACAGCTCGGAGCCTGGAGCCTACTTCAGATTCTGTGTCTCCCTCTCTCTCTGCCCCTCCCCTGCTCACACTGTCTCTCTCTCTCTCTCTCTCTCAGAAATAAATAAAACATTAAAAAAAATTTTTTAGAGTAAGGCAAGCAGCCAGGTCCCAGTCACAGGCCTGTGACCCACTGTGTGGCCTCAGGCAAGTCCCATCCGTCCCTGGGCTTCACTTTCCCCGTCTGTAACAACTATAAGCTGTCCTGCCTGGCTCACAGGCTGCGACAACAGGACACAAATGCATTTGAAAGGCAAAGTACCTCAGTTTTGAGGAACACACCGGCCACATGTCCCTGATACCTTCCTTCCGTGCCGGGAGACCGCAGGTCAGTCCCTTCCCCTCTCAGGGCGGGACAGAAGGGCTGCTCTCTCCCCTGCCCGAAAGCTGTAACGAGGACCAAGCGCTACTCAAACACCCCTGAGAAGGGCTGACGGGACCGAGCTCCGTCACCACGGAGCATAACCTCTGCGGGAGAGAGTCTGGAGACAGAGGAGGGCACCGACGGCTAAGCCACGAGCCAAGGTTTTAGGTGATCCTGCCCCTTTAAGCCAGATCCCCAGAAGTGAGGACTAGCTTCGTGTCATGTCTTGGCGGGGTGGGAACTGACTAACTCCCAAACTGTGGTAATTGTGGGCGGCCTCCCCAGGCCACGGCTCCACCCCAAGCCCAACTTTGGTGTGTCCTGGGGGGCAGTTTGTCATTTCTCTCAGTTTATCCCCAACCTCAGCTGGCGACTCCTCCCTGTTCTGGCTTCCACAGACTGTGGCCTCTGATCCCAGTACCCTGTGGGGACGCCTGGGGGAGAGATTCTAGAGAAGGGGCTCTGCCCTCGGATGGCAAGACCCACGCCCTCCACGGAGAGGCTGGAGCCAGCCCAGGGAAGGATCAGGTCTGACCCCTCTGCAGAGCAGCGGGGAGCCAGACTGCCAGCCCCCTCACCTGCTCCCCAGGATCCCCGGTCCCGCTGATCTCTGCCACGTGGGGACCCAGGGAAGGCCAGCTGTTCCTGTCTGCTCCACTCCAGGTCAAGCCAATCACAGGGCTCAGGGGGCTGGAGTTTGGGCTCTGAAGCTAGGGCGAGAGAACCCAACTTAAACCCAGAGGAGGTCCCCACTGGAGGAGTAGGGGCCGGGGTGAGTGTTCCGGGGTCACCCTAAGTCCTTAGAGGTCACTCCGCAGGGCCAAGGGGATAGGGGGTTCCGTCCCGGGGCTCAGGACTGCGGAGGGCCTGTCGGCCAGGGGAGGGGCCTGTCTGGGTGGTGTCTGGACGGAGCAGACGGGCCCATCTGGGGTGGAAGCTGTCCGTGGGACCCGGGGGTTCACGCCCAGAGGGTGCCAATGCCCGCCGGTCTCTCTCACCAGAGGGCCAGTCTGGCCCGCGGGTAGTCCAGCCGCTCCAGCGCGCCCAGGTAGTGGGGCAGTGAGTGCTCGGCATTGCGGGCCAGGATGGTGAGGACCACGGCGGGCAGTGGAGGCTCCGCGACTCCCGCAGCCGGCGGCCTCGGCCCCAGCAGGAGCAGCAGCTGGAGCAGCGGGGCGGCGGGGGCGGCGCGCATGGCGGGCGCTCTGGCGGCGGCGGCGGCCGCGGGGGCTCTGGCCCGGCCGAGGGGAGTGGGCGGGGCGGCCGGGCCGGGGCGGGGCGTGGGGGCGGGGCGGGGCCGAGGCGGCCGGAGAAGGGGGGCGTACCCCCAAAGAGTGGGCTCCCCCTCCCACCCGCTACGCGCCGATTCTCAAGTGTCCTCTCCTCCGCCAGGGGCAGCGAAGGGCCAGGGCCCGGAGACCCGCCCCACGCGCGACCCAGGAGCAGCGCCCTCCCGGCTGGGCGCCGGCGGGGGGAAGGGAGCAGAGGGGAGGGTCCCGGGGGACGGCATCCGAGCCGCCCCGGTGCCCGAGAACGCTCCACTCCGAAGCCCGGAGCGTTCAGCCCCCGGAATCCCGGCTCCACTGAGCGTCCGACGCCCCTGAGTCCGGATTCCCTGGCCACCCATGCGACCCTCGGAAACCTAGTCGCAGCCCCGCGGGGCGGGACCGACCGGCAGTGGCCCTAGCCGGGCTCCCCGGTTCCCGCCCCTCCTCCGCCCCACCCCCGGACGCCCTCTGGCGGGCCCACGCGGAACTTCTCAGACCTGCGCGGCGACTCCGGCTTGGGGGGCGGGGCGGGGGGCTGGGGTCCCCGGGACCCGGGCGCGCCATCCAGCTGCGTCCTGAGCGCGGCGTCTTGCACGCGGCGTCGTCCTCGCCTCCGCCGCCAGCGCCGGCGCTGCTCCGGCCCTTGAAGAGAGCAAAGCCCACTCTCAGGCTGAGTGTAGACCTAGGGGGCACCACAGAGCCCGCACCGTAACCCAGCCAGGTACAAAGCAGGAGGTATATATAGCCTCCCCTGGGGCAGAGCCGGGGGAGGGGGGTTCCTGAGGCCCCCGCTGAGATGGGAAGGGGGCTCCAGCTTCTCTTAGGAGAGGGCAGGAAAGGGAGGGGCCCAAAGGCACCAGCGGTGGGTTCCAGCTCAGTATCACTTTCCCTGAGCCTCTGGACCTCCTCTGGGTGGGTTTGCAAGGATTCCTTGAGGCACTGAACACACTCCAGGCTTCTCTCGGCATGGAGCCTGGCCGCAGGAAGAGCTGCCGGGGCTGAAAGACAGGACTGGAGAAGCAGCCAAGCTCCCCTTCCATTCACCTCCCACTCACCGTGAAGGCCTACTTTCCTATGGCCCCTTTGGGTCTCACTTCGGCCTCCTCCCAGGGTCAGGGAAGAGGGCTAAGCCCCTACGCACTCTCTGCTGGGGGAGGGGGGGGGATCAGCAAGGGATGGACTTGCCTGAAGATGGGGCAGTCTGTGGGGGCATGAACCCAGGAGGCCAGGTCTGCAGCCCCGATCCGAAGCTTCCACCAGACCCCCAGTCAAATCTTCTAGGGGGCTAGTGGCCCTGTAATGAAAGGTCTGAGGCCCCGTGGAAGAGTCCCTTCCCTCGCATGGTAGCCTCTGGCCAGAAGGCACTCCCAGCGCCAGAATGGGGGTTCGCTTTCTCAAGAGAAGCAGCGTGCCCCACCTCTCCCATCCTGGAGCCCTCCCAGAGCCTCTGCCCATCCTATTGGTCACAGGGGTTTCCAAATTCCTCTCTGGCCTCAACTCCTCCTCCTCCTCCCCCTCTGAATGCACTGACCCCTCCCATTGTCCCCTTCCTCTCTCCGCAGTCCATCCAGTGATCCAGCTGTCACAGCCTCGCTTGCTTGTGGGTTTCCCCTCACCCCTGCCTGGGAAAAACCCCTCCAACCATCTTGCTTTTTGGCATGTTGGGGCTACTGCAGACAGGACCTCCACTCCCCTCTGCACTGTGACCAGGCCCAACGGTCCGTTTCCCCTGTGCCCCTGTCCCCTCTCCTCAGTGGCACTTCACAGCCTCTGCTCCAGCGAGGCTCTCCCGGCTACTTTTTGGAGAAAAAGAGAAGCCCTCCCCTGGGAGCTCTCATTTCCAGCCTCCAAACTGTCCCCTGCCCCCAAGCCTGCCTCAGCTCTCACCGCCTGGCACCGCGGGAGGGACGCCCCCTCCGCAGGATGGAACGGCCCCTAAGCTCCAAATGCCCTTGTGCTTCCTGGAATCATCAGCCCCCCCTCTCTTCCGGGTGCTTCCTCTGACTTGAATCTCCCCCAGTTTAAAATAGGAACACTCCAAGCTGTTTGCCGGCCCCCAGCTGCAGCCTTCTCTCTCTCTCTCTCTCCCTCTCTCTCTCCCTCTAAACCTCTTGAACTAGGATCTGTGCTTTGCTCCAAGGCTTCCTTCCTCATCTCCGTTCAGCCAAACTGCTCCTGCCAAGACCAGAGTCCTGCCGGCCACTCCCCACAAAGGATATTATCTCCTCAACCAAGAAGAGGGTTCTCTTTAGCAGCTGACCATGCAGGCCACTCTGTCTTTCTGGAAAACCGACCTGTGTCTCCACTACCCATTTGGACCCAGATTCCATGTGTGTGTGTGTGTGTGTGTGTGTTTTAAGTTAAACTCTACACCCAGGGGTGGGGCTCAACCTTACGACCCTGAGATCAAGAGTCACATGCTCTGCCTACTGAGCCAGGCAGGTGCCCCAAGATTCCATCCACTCACAACAGAACCCCACCCTTTCCCCCCAACCTGCTCCCCCTCCAGCGACCTCCTCAATCTAGAGAATGGTACCTCCTCTGCCACCTGGTCCCCTCAAGCTGGAGAGCTGGGTGTCACTGATGACAGAGGTGTCCCTCTTTCAACCTCCTCCATCACCTCATCCTGGCAGGACCACCACCTCAACGTCCCCGGCACTTGGCCACCTCTTTTCTTCCGCACCGCTGCTCCCCGGCCCAACCCCCCCCCCCGCCCTGCGCGCTGGGCACCAGTCCTGCTCACCTGGCCCACAGCATCTCCCAGGGACCTGCCCCCCTACACTGTCTGCCTAGAAACCATTCCGCCCTCAGCCACTCTTTCTAAATTTCCGGGGTTAACACGCTTCAGGGACTGCGCATTGCCCACAGTATAGGGCTCAAACCCCTCACGGAGCAGTGAGACCCTGCATGGCCTGTGTGGCACGTCTCTAACTCCTCTGACCTCTCCTCTCCCCTAATCGCCTGCTCCAGCCAATTTGGACTATCTACAGCTTTCCTGAATACTCCAGGCTTTAGGACTGTCCCACATCCTTCCCCCGCCGCACCCTCCCCCCACCCCTGCCTATACTCCTATGGGCCCTCCCGTCTCAGCCTAAACTAACTTCCTCTGGAAAGCGTTCCCCGTGTCATGTCTGGGGCACTTACCCCGACATGGCATCCTAAGTAATCCCATTCATTCAGCAAGTATTTATGGAGCGCATACTATGTGCAGGTAGAAGTATAGGTTTTGGGGCACATAAGACAATCTCTGCTTCTAGGGCGCTCACATCCTGGTTGAGGGCACAGACAGGAAACAAACTAATAAACTAATAGGTATTTTCAAAGGACAGTAATGCTATGAACAAAATAAAACCAGAGGGATGGGGCGCCTGGATGGCTCAGTCGGTTAAGCATCCGACTTCAGCTCAGGTCATGATCTCACGGTTCGCGGGTTCGAGCCCCGCGTATGGCTCTGTGCTGACAGCCAGCTCAGAGCCTGGAGCCTGCTTCGGATTCTGTGTCTCCCTCTCTCTCTCTGACGCTCCCCTGCTCACACGCACGCTCTCTCTCAAAAATAAATAAACATTAAAAATTAAAAAAAAAAAAAAAAAAAAAAAAAAAAAAAAAAAAAAAAAAAAAAAAAAAAAAAAAAAAAAAAAAAAGGAAGACACTGGAGAGGGTAAGCCGAGAAGTAACCAAAGATCCTCTGGCTGCCACGCGGAGGGTGGGCCACGGGGGCGAGGATGGAAGCAGGAGCTGGCATTCAGGGAGAGAAGACAGTGGGCAGAGTGCAGACACAGTGTGGTGGCCGAGCCCCCAGCCTTGTGGGATTACATGTGGGAGACAGAGCGAGGGATCTGGGTGACCTGAGGGTTGCAGCCAGACTGGCTGGCAGGCTAGTTACTGAACGGGGAAGACCCGAGATGAAGCTGGTGGAGTGTGACTCGAGGTCTGTCTGGACCTTATTTTGAGCTGCCTTTTAGACTCCCAGGTGGGAAGGTCACATGCCAGGCCCTCCTGGCTGTGAGTTCTGAGGCAGGGACCCTTCTACCTCCTTTACCATTTTATCCCCAGCCCTAGAGCAGGGCTGGCCGGACCCAGGGTGGGCTCTCAGTAGCAAAATGATGGGTCACCGACTGAGATGGGCTGATCATGCACCTGTACTTCCACCTCCACTAATTTTTTTTGCCCCCAAATATAATAATAGGACATACTCCATAGAGGTAATAGTGGGCCAGAGTCACGGAAATGCTGAAGCAGTGGTTGTCGGAGCATAGTCCCTGGACCAGCCGGCATCACCCTCACTTGGAAATTGTTAGAAATGCAAATTCCGGCCCCTCCCCACACCTGTTGAGTCAGAAACTGTGCGAGCGGAGGTTAAACCCACAAGACTGCCAGGCAGTCTCCATGCAGGCTCAACTTTGAAGCTGCGCTTCTATGGGGCCTATGGCCTCATTCCCGGGGCCGTGTAGACTATATGCCTGGGGAAAAAGGACGGTTTGGGCCCTTCTGGCTGAATCGGTTCAGACCACCCTGGGGCCGACACCTAACTGGGCTCTGGGCTATGCCGACCCCACCTGGACTCCCAGTCTTCACGCCCATCCCTCAGACACTGTGGTTCCGGGCATAGCCGGGTGGTGGCGCCAGCGCCTTAGGCTTCAGTCTGGCTTTGGGAGCTAGAGACCTCAGAAGAATTGCCCCCCTCCCCTGCGCCTTCTTCCCTGCTGGGAGCCTCTGCTTCAAGGCCTATCCGCTGGCAAAGGCCTTGCAGGATGGCCTTCATCTGGGAGAGGGGCTGGCACACCCAAGGCAGGGGCCAGCCCCCTCTTCCCGCAGGTTAGGAAGGTGGGTTAGAGAAGCCCCCTTGGTCAGAAAGAAACTAGGGGTGTCTGGCCTGTGGCCTTGGGGGTCAGAAGCCCAGGCAGGTGGCTCTGATCCAGTGGACTCTGGTTATACCCACGTTAACCCTCTGCCTACCCTGCCCAACCTCATGTGAGGTCTCAGGTGCTTCTTCCCTGCCATTGGGTGGGGGCAGCCAGGAGGAACCCCAGATCCCAGACAGAGCCCCAAAGTTGGGCATCATCATAGCCTGGCAGCCAAGCAAGCTGGGAACAGGGGCCCATGGCAGAGAGGCTGCTTGGATGGAGCTCTTACCAGCTGCCAGCTTCACGTCTCCTGGGTTGGGGGCTCTCTGGGCCCCTGTCCTGCTTTGCGGCCAAGGGAGCCCAGCATCCTGGCCAGAGGAGGGGCTCCTGCCCTGCTTCTGGTCCTGGGTGCAGCTCGGTAGATAGGAGTCCAGGAGACCCACCTGTGCTCCTTCCTGGCTCCGGTTCCAAGCCCCATTCCAAGAAGACCCAGGGCTGAGCTGAGTGCAGGCTCGACCCCCATTGGCTCCCCTGGCCCTCATCTTTCCTCTTTGAGGGGAGCCCGAGACCCCCTTGCCCAGCTGGAGTCACTCTGCCCATTCTACATAGACCTAGCATACCTTGGCCTCTGCTCCAGGAGTCTGCCCACACCCTCTCCTCTCCAGGGGTCCCACCCAACGCCCACACCCACTCCGGAGAACCACCCTCTCCCTCTTGGCCATGCCCTCCTCTCCCAGGACCCCAGATGGGGAGCTATCCTCCTCTGAGGCTCTGCCTCCGTCCTCAGGAAGCTGGGGCGAGGCCAGCTGTTTTCCCCGGGCAGCCAGCTGTTTTGCCCATCAGGAAGGAGCCCTGGCTCCTCCGCGAAAATCATTGCTGTGGCTGGGGCTGCAGCGTGGCAGCCCCGCTGGGCCAGGGCCTGGGAGCTGTTAACTCCTCTGGGCCCAGCCAGCTCCTTTCTGCGTCCGCGACCCCAGCCCCCACCCCGTGGGAGTAGCCTGTGCCAGACTTCCAGAGACCCCCCAGAAGACCAAGCGTTGCTTTCCCCACCCCTCAACAGCTGCTAACCTGACATCCCCTCCCCTCAACGGAGCCTTGTCCTCAGGTGACCTCAGGTAAGGGGAAGTTTCAAAGGGACAAAGGTTAGCCCCATTCACAACAATAATAGTAGTAGTAATAATAATAATAGCTATCGTTAACTGCTATGTGCCAGGCCCTATGTTAAGTGCTTTAAATGCATTATCTAATTTAATTTTCTTTAAAAAAATTTTTTTGTTTAATGTTTTATTTATTTCTAAGAGAGAGAGAGAGACAGCGTGAGCAGGGGAGGGTCAGCGAGAGAGGGAGACAGACTCTAAAACAGGCTCCAGGCTCTGAGCTGGCAGTCAGCACAGAGCCCGATGCGGGGCTCGAACCCACGAACCGCAAGATCATGACCTAAGCGAAAGTCGGTCGCTTAACCGACTAAGCCACCCAGGCGCCCCTATCAAATTTAATTCTCACCACAGTCCTGTGAAGTCAGGAATGTTTTCAGTTTACAGATGAGGAAACTGAGGCATGGCAAGTCTAAGTTGCTTGCCCACGCCCAAGCGGAATTGAAGTTTGAAACTGGGCTGCCTCCCCTCTCTCCCCAGCCCTGGCGCTGTTGCTGTTGAAGTTTCCCTGAGCGCCTTGCCCGCCCCCACCCCCACCCCCACTTTCTTTTCCTGGTGGTCTGAGTATCTGGTAGAGCCATCTGTGAAATGGGATCATTAACAGGTAGCGCCATCTGTGAAATGGGGTCACTAACGGGTGGCGTCAACGCCGGCTCCCGGAGCCATGCCAGGCTCTGTGCTCAATACCTTCCAAGTATTCATTAGCAGATCATTCCTCTGGGTGGCTGCGGGTCAGCCTGGGCTAGAATCCCGGCTTTGCTGTTCCTGGCAGCCTGGCTTTGGGCAAGTGACTTTACATCTCAATATCAACTGTCCAAAGCTGCAAAATGGATGTAAGAACAATACTCTGAGTCTTTGATTTTGTTGTGCAAAGGACGGTGATAATGTAGGTGAGGTGGTTAGCCCAGCACCCAACACGGAGAGGGGTGGGAAATATCACCCCTTACTGTTGTGACTACTAACACGATCTGGAAGGATCTGGAAGGATCTGAGTGGCCCACCTAGCACCGTGCACCCCCGCACCCAGCAGGGAGCTGGCACATAAGAAGGCTCTGAACCCAGGTCTGCCAGAGAGACGCAACTTGCCCAAGATCCCAATTACTGGGGTCGAGCTGTGGGCCTCCCGCTCTTAACTCCTGCACCCCCGTGGCCTTCCCTCCTGTGGCCCGAACCTGGTCTGGTGGGAGGGGGAGAAGGGACAAGGGGACGGGGACAATCCCGGAGCTGAGACGGCCCAGAAGGTGACTGGGCCACGGCTGGGTGGGATCTCAGGGTCTGGGAACGACCCCTCAGGATGCAGTGACCCGTGCTCGCTCCCTTTGTCCTCTCCCCCTGCCCACCATGGGTCAGCTCCCTGGTCCCAGCCTAGACATCTGGAACTGGGGCAGACAAAGGACCGCGAGGAGGGACAATAACCTTCTGTCCATTTTCAGATGCCGGGCCGGGCCTGGCCAGGGCTGGGGGCCGGAGCCCCGGCGAGGCGGTGCCAGGCCCCCCGCGGGCAGCGGACAATGTTGGCAGTGATGGAGAGGAGGCATTTCAAAGCGTTTTGTTCCTACTGACCCCCTCCCCTCCACATCTCGCCCCAGCTCGGGGTGAGGCCCCAGCCCCACCCCCAGCCACCCAGGCCCCTGCTCCTGGCGGCTTGGGGACCGGCCACATTCTTGACCTCAGGGGAAAAGTTTAGACTCTTTGCGCCCTGGGCAACAATAACAGTGTCACAGAACTGATTTAGGGGGAGCACTTACCATCACAAAGCAGCAGACAAAGAGCCAGGGCTGAGAACGCGCCGGGCTTCTGTGCCTACTCCTCTAAGCACTGCTACTTCTCTGCGGGGCTCTGCCTGGGCCGGACTGGGTGCCAGGGCGCTGGACCCCCGGGCTCCCCGGAGGAGGGCTTGAGCTGGGGAGGGAGCGAAGGAGAAGTGATGGGGATTCCACTGTGGATCGAGGGGCCTGCGAGCTGCTTCTTGCTCTGCCACCAATTTGCCAGGTTACCCTCAGCAAGTCCTTCCCCGCTCTGCGCCTCAGTTTCCCCCTCTGTAACGAGGAGGCTAAACTCTAAGGCCCGAAGCATGAGGCTCTGATCTGGGAGCAGATGGATTTCCATGATGACAGTGGCGAGAATGAAGTGTTCACCCCTTCATTCTGGGCATTTCGCAGTCGGCGCCAGGCGCTGTGATCGCTAACCCCTCTCCGGGATCTCATCTTTTATTATTATTTTTTTTTAATGACAGAGACCACTCAGTGCCATCCCCTCTCTCCTGCTCTCCCAAAGGAAGAGAAAGACAATTATCAATGGCAAGTGGCAGATGCGGAAGCAACACCAAAGGCTGGTTTCCCATTGAGGAGGGAAGGCTGCCTCCTGCCTGTCTTGTGTTCTGGGGTTCTAGACATTCAGAGAAACTGCAATTGTCAGGGGCAGAGGATAGAAATGACCCCTGAAAACAGCATTTCTAATCCTCTTTGAGCGCTTGATCCTCAGCAACCTCACAAAACAGGTGCATCATTAACTCTGGCTTACGGCGGAGAGCTGATGCTCAGAGAGGCCGAGGCACTTGTCCAGGGCCACCCAGCTTGGAGTCTGTGGAGCTGAGACCCCGGGCAGGGCTGGCTCTCTTCTGATTACACTGCAGTGGGAAGAAGAGAGGCAATGAGGCAGCTGGTCCCCGGGGAGTTCTGGGTGGGAGGGCCTCTCCTCCCCGGCCAGAAGGCTATGAATAAATAAATGTCTGATTGCCCCCAGGGGGAACCCCACCCTTGGAGCAGGTGCTTTTAAAAAACGAGATTGATTCTTGTCTGTGAACAGAGGATGGCCTGGGCAGACACCCAGATGCAGGGGACTGGACGAAATGACCTCTAGTGGAGACCTCCTAGGAATTAGGAGCAGGATAGAACATTTAAGGGCCCCTGGCTCCAAAGCCAGGTTATGGGTTCGAATCCCCACTCTGATGTTTCCTGGTAGCGTGTTCATGGACAGGTGACTTCAACATTCTGTCCTCAGTTTTCCAACCTGTAAAAGCGAACTCACCTTGTAGGAGAGTGGTGACCATTCAGTGAGGTACATAGAAGGCCTTAGAACAGCGCCTGACTCAGTGAGGGCTGCCCGTGTCTATCCGGCAAGATCCCGGCAGCCAAGTCCCATAGCCAGGGCACCTCAAGGTGGGCACTGCTAGGGCCCTGTGGCAGTCAGTCAGCCGTTGACCTTGCTTTCCAGGGAGTGGTTGGATTTTGATTACAGCACGAGGGACTGTGGTTAGACACTTCGAGCAAAGGGGACCTGTTCTCCGGATCCCTAAGGCAAAGAGATCAACCATGGCATCCCAGGGGCGGTCAGAGGAGACTGTGGCAGGGGTGGCCCAGCCCTGGGCACGGTGCCCAGCCTGGGAGAGGACAGGAAGGGAAGGAGGCCCTGGCAGGTGCTGTCCACAGTCTGCCCCTCTCCACCCCTGAAATCCAGAGGGACCAAACTGTACTTGGAAAACAAAGGAGAGGTGGCCAAGCGCGGCATCTGGGGTACCACCAGCACTGTCCTCGGTGTGGTAAGGGAGCCTGGTAGGCTTGAGTTCCAGCTCTGCCAACCTGTGTCACCCAGGCTGAGTTGCTGCCCCTCTCTGAGCTCGTTCCAGAGTCTTTTAGAATCCAAAGTATTCAAAGGAGACCATCACTGGAGCCTCTGTGATTCCGTAAGTCTAATCAAAAGGCTGGCTTGGAGGCCAGAGCCCTCCTCCCCCGTCTCCAGCCCCTCCTCTCTCTCCTCATCTTCAGATTTCGCCTCCAGCCTCTTCGACCATCCTTCCCCGCAGCTCCCCTCACCCAAGTACCAGTGACACACGCATCACACACAGAGGGTGAGACAGCCTAGCGGAAAATGTCACAGATTCCCCGGGGGGGTGGGGGATGGTCCCAGCCTCCCCCTCACTCCCGTTCTGGCTATGGAGCCAGAGGAGAACTCACCTGGGCAGAGCATCTTGGGGTCCCCTCGGCCCCGGAGGCAGATGGCGCTGCTGGGGCCGTCTCTGGCACAAGGTGCCTTCCCCACCCAGTTCCTGCTGCTGCGAAGGGCTGGTCAAGCAGGCCTTCAGGTGCCAGCCCGCCCTGCCCCAGCACAGATTTTCCTGGCTTCTGCCGGACAGGAAGGGCACTGGCTGGGGGCTGGGCAGTGGGGCAGGGAAAGATTCAGATGAAGGTGTCTCGTAGAGGGCTTGTCCACAGCCCCCTAACCCACTTCCTTTCTGGATGCTGTGCGCCAGGGGTCCAGGAAGCCATGGGCTCTCAGGAGCAGGGGAGGGCTGATCCGGAGAGGCTGAGATGAACCCAGGCCCCTGCCCCATCCTATCCCCAACCCTCCCCCCCCCCCAAACAGGCCAGCAGGGCCCAGGCTGAGGTGTTTGCTTTTCCTGTCTCTACACTGACTCCATTCAGAGCAGACTTTCTCCACCCAAGGCCAGCAGCCAGCAAGCCTGGACACCAGGGAGAGAGATTACCACCCCCACCCTCCTTCCTTTGCACCCCCCAAATACCGTCTTCACTTCAGGGAAACGACAGCTTCCTAGTTTTCGAAGGGGGGCACTGCAGAAGTAGGGAAGATGGGGAAGAGAGGGCCCACCCCAAAGGAGAAGAGGAACAGAGCACTATGGAAGGGACTGGTAGAAGAACAGGGCTCCCAATGGAGGAGGCCTCAGGCAGAGGTGGGGCGGGAGCGGCACAATCCTGGGAGCTAAGGGGGACTGGCCCAGGAGGCAGGAAGAGCCTTTACAGGCTGAGCCAGAGCCTCAGGCCCAGCTCCGTGCCACCAAGACCCTTAAGCCCTGAGGCCGACCCTGAGGCTGGGAGCTCCAGACTCCCACCTGAAACCCTTGCCAGGCTGTGACCTGGTCTGGGGCCAGGGGAAGGAGGAGGGTGAAAAGTTTCCCCAAGTCAGAAGGCCACGGGGGAGGCATCTCAGGGGGTCTTGCTCTTTGCTCTCTCTGACTGTCACGTTGGTACATAAAGAGGGTAGAAAGGTCAGCTGTGGCCTTTCAGGTCTGTGGGAAAAACTCTGCCCACTTCCCTAATGCATATTTATTGGTGTGAGCCGCTGGGGTGGGAGGAAGCCCCCACCCCCGCCCACCTCCCGGCCGGCCAGGTTAGCACTAAAACGGGCTCCATGTCACCGAAATCCTACTCTTTGTCTCCAGATTGGCTCCAGAGTCCTCCCCCTTCCCTCCTCCCCTTGGCTCCCCCCACCCCCCTTTGGGGTTGCCAAGCAACTGTGGAAGGGTAGCTGAGATATTTTCTTTATTACAAGCAAAAGCAAGACAGCATCATGGCCCCAGGAGGGGAGCAGGGTGGGGGCTGGGGAGAGGGCGTCCTGTGCTCTGGGGGGACCTCACTACCTTGGTGCGCTCTGGGCTTGGGCAGTGGGGAGACTCAGAGCCCCAGAGAAAGTGGAGGGTGGAAGGGGGTGGTGGCAGTGATGGGGGTGGGTGGGTGCAGAGAGGCGGATCCTGTCCACATAAATGGTAAAAGAATCATGCCAAGGGGCCCAGGCGAGCCCTCACCTGTCACCCACCAGCTCTACATTGAGGCCAAATCACTTTCCTTCTCTGGGCCTGAGTTTCCTCCTCGATAAAATGGGGATACCAACATGTATTACTATCTCATTTAATGCTCACATCAACACAAAGAGACATTTATTTTTCCCATTTTTACTGGTTAGGAAACTGACACTCAGAGACAGGTAGTGACTTGCCAAGCACTTTTAGGTAAATGGCAGGTGAGAACTTCAGCCCCAACTCTTTTTTAACTAATTTATTATTATTTTTTTAGTTACACATTTAAAAAAATTTTTTAAACATTTTATTTATTTTTGAGAGACAGAGACAGAGCATGAGCGGGACAGGGGCAGAGAGAGAGGGAGACACAGAATCCAAAGCAGGCTCCTGCTGTCTCTGCTGACAGCTCAGAGCCTGACATGGGGCTTGAACCCACGAACTGCGAGATCATGACCTGAGCATCTGACCTTGATGCTCAACCGACTCAGCCACCCGGGTGCCCCTAAATTACACATTTTTAAAAAGCTTATGTGTATTTATTTTGAGAGAGAGAGTGCAAGTGGGGGAGGGGCAATGAAAGAGAGAGAGAGAGAGAGAGAGAATCCCAGACAAGCTCCACACTGTCAGCCCAGATCCTGATGCAGGGCTCTGACTCATGAACCCTGAGATCATGACCTTAGCTGAAATCAAGAGTCAGATGCTTAACCGGCTGAGTCACCCAGGAGCCCCTTTATTTTATTTTTCTAAGCCCCAGCATGGGGCTTGAACTCATGACCCCAAGACGAAGAGTTGCATGTTCTACCGACTGAGACAGCCAGGCGCCTCCTGCAAGTCTTTTTGCTGAAAAAAGTTTTTTTTATCCGAGTGCAGTTACACATTGTGACATTAGTTTCAGGTGTACAACACAGGGATTCAAGATCTCTATAGTTACTGCACCACCACAAGCACGGCCACCCTCTGTCACCATACAACTGCGCTATTACACTGTCATCAGCTATATTCCCTATGTTGTGCCTCGGATTCCTGTGACTTACTCATTCATAACTGGAAGCCCGTACCTTCCACGTCCCTTCACCCATTTTGCCCTTCCCCCATCCCTCTCTCCTCTGCAGCTTTTCTGAGATGTAATTCACACACCATGCAATCGCCCATTTACAATGGACAGTGAAGGGGCGCCTGTGAGGCTCAGTCAGTTAAGCATCCGACATTGGCTCAGGTCATGATCTCATGGCTCGGTTTGTTTGAGCCCCATATTGGGCTCTCAGCTGTCAGCCCAGAGCCTGCTTCGGATCCTCTGTTCTCTTCTCTCTTTGCCCCTCCCCCACTGGTTCTCTCCCTTTCTCTCGCTCTCTCAAAGTAAACTTTAAAAAAATTTAAAAATGAAATATACAATTTAATGGATTTTAGTGTGCTCACAGCGTGGTCATCACTACAATCCATTTTGAACATTTCATCACCCCAAAAGAACCCCTGTGGCCATTAGCCTTCTCTCCCCATTCTCTCTCAATTCCCCTCCTGCCAGTCCTAGGCATCCACTAGTCTGCTTTCTGTCTCTATAGATTTGCCTACTCTGGATTTTTCTGTAAATGAAATCAGGGGCGCCTGAGTGGCTCAGTCGGTTAAGTGTCCGACCTCAGCTCAGGTCATGATCTCGCAGTTCGTGGGTTTGAGCCCCACAGCGGGGCTCTGTGCTGACAGCTCAGAGCCTGGAGCCTGTTTCGGATTCTGTCTCCCTGTCTCTCTGTCCCTCCCTTGCTCGCTCTCTGTCTCTCTCTCTCTCTAAAATAAATAAACATTAACAAAAATTTAAATGGAATCAGATAATATGTCTCAGTCTTAACTCTTAACTTCCAAGTGGCTCCATCCTCACCGGGTACTGGGGTAACAGAGTATCAGGTATCATGGTGGCATGGTTAA